CATTACTGTACTCCCAAACTTACCCAAACTTTACCCCAAAATTCACCTAAACTTCATTCCAAAATTCACCCAAACTTTATCCTAAAATTCAGCCAAATTTTACCCCAAAATTCACCCAAACATCATTCCAAAAATTCACTAAAAATTTTACAAAAAAATCACCCAAACTTTATTCAAAATTCACCCAAACTTTACTCAAAATTCACCCAAACATTACTCCAAAATTCACCCAAATTTTACCTCAAAATTTACCCAAACTTTACTCAAAATTCACCCAAACTTGACCTCAAAATTTACCCAACCGTCACGCCAAAATTCACTGAAACCGATCCCAAATTCACCCAAACTCCCATACTTTACTCCAAATTTCACCCAAATTTTACCACAAAATTCACTCAAAATTTACCACAAAATTCTCCCATACTTTACTCCAAGTTCACCCAAAGTTTATTTCAAATACATCCAAACTTCACTCCAATTTTATCCAAATTTCCCCCAAAGTTCACCCACACTTTACTGCAAATTCACCCAAAGTTTACTAGAAATTCATCCAAACTTTTTGCCAAAATTCTTCAGAAACACAACCTGACACCCCCCCCCCCCCACCACCACCACCACCACCACCACCACCCATCCCCCTCATCCTGCTGTGAAGTTTCTTCAGAATGAGAAGTCTTCAGAGGAGTTTGCTTCAGGTTTTCTTGTGTTTTGGCCTTTAGACATCATTGAAGCAAACTGAATGTGCTGAGCTGATACAAGGCAGAGTTAACAGAGGTCAAAGGTTAGTTTAGATGTGGGCGGGGTCAGGGCGGCGGCGCCCCCACCTTTCCGTTCACTCATCTCCAGCAGCTGAGGCTCACTGATTTCCAGGAAGAAGTTCTTGTTCTTCTCGTACTCCTCATCATCGATTATTTTGATGCGAATTATTTTGCTGCGACAGAAAAATGTTGCAGAAGATGAAAAGAGTGACAACAGGAAACATTAGACACAACAGAAGACAACAGCTAAAACCTAGACCAGGAGCAGGAAAGTTCTGGGAGTCCATCAGTTTTCTATAAAAACAAACAATAATTAAAAATATATATTTGAGGGAGAAAAATGTTATCAGTTTTCTTTATCAGATGAAGTGGTTGATGATGACTGTGAAGGATTTATTATTATTTAAAAGAATTAAATAGTATTACATTATTAATAGACTGAATTTGATAGGATCCAGTCAGACTGCTGGATTCTAAACTTAAAAATCTCAGATAAATGTCTCATGAATGCAGAACCACTGATACACCTTTAGCTGCATTTACTTTCAGGAGAATACAAACTGAACGCACAACCACAGAAACGTTTAACAACCCTGAACCTATCACATTTTGGTACACCATGGTATGGAACGATACAGTTCAGTGTACTGGTTGGTTTGGTTCGGTAAGGTAAGGCATGGTGTGGTATAGGTACAGTACAATTTGGTACAATACTGTACAGCATGGAAGAGTAAAGTTTGGTCTGGTACAGTGTGGCATGTATTATATAGTGTGGTACAGCCCTGAGACCCGAGAAAGCAAGAGACAAATAAAGATGATGGATGAATGGATGGATGGATGGATGGATGGACGGATGGTAAAGTGTGGTACGGTTTAGTGTGGTAGAGTATTACTCTGTGTGATACAGTATTACTCAGTGTGGTACAGTGTTACTCAGTGTGGTAGGGTACAGTGTGGTACAGTATTATACTGTATAGTACAGTGTGGTACAATGTGGTATGGTACAGTGTGGTGCGGTGCAGTACAGTGTAGTACAGTACAGTGTGGTACAGAAATATACTGTGTGGTACAGTGTTGTACAGTACAGTGAGGTACAATGTGATATGGTACGATGTGATACAGTAATACACTGTGTGGTACAGTAAAATACTGTGTGGTACAGTAATATACAGTGTGGTATGGTATAATGTAGTACAGTAATATACTGTGTGGTACAGTAAAATACTTTGTGGTACAGTTTGGTACAATGTGGTATGGTACGGTGTGGTACAGTAATATACTGTGTGATACATCGTGGTATGGTGTGATACAGTAAAATGCTGTGTGGTACAGTAATATACAGTGTGGTATGGTATAGTGTGGTACTATAAAATATACTGTGTGGTACAGTAATATACTGTGTGATACATCGTGGTACAATGTGGTATGGTGTGATACAGTAAAATGCTGTATGGTACAGTAATATACAGTGTGGTATGGTATAGTGTGGTACTATAAAATATACTGTGTGGTACAGTAAAATACTGTGTGGTACAGTTTGATACATTGTGGTACGGTACAGTGTGGTACAATGTGGTATGGTACAGTGAGGTACAGTGCAGTACAGTGAGGTGTGATACAGTTCAATCTGGTACAGTATAGTTTGGTCTGGTTTGGTTCAGTACAGTAACTCAGTGCCTTCAAGCAAAAAATAACTTGAATGAAATGATTTCTGATAGATGTAATAAAACAAAGTTTGTTTTCTCTTCATGTTGGTGGCTTAATATTGTGTGTGTGCGCATGTGTGTGTGTGTGTGTGCGCGCGCATGTGTGCATGTGTGTGTGCATGCTTGCGGCATGGAATCTGACCGTCGCCTTCCTCTGGGTTGTGTTTATTTTGTATCAGCAAATTGTTGGTTTGGAGCGTTTTCAGTTCTGTTTCTCTGAAAATCTGCTCCACTCAAGGGACAGGTTTGTTTAATTTTATAGAATTATTCTTTTTATATGCAATACAAATGAAAAATTAGATTCTGAAACCTTTGATATTTAAAGCAGAATTCAACATCTCATTCTGGATTTTCCAGAACTCTTCCTATGACTCTCAACATCAATGAAGTCCTGAGCTCCTGGGGTCGTCTCCTGAAGTCAAATTCAATCTAAATCCAACAGATCCACGCTGATTCGAGTCAGAATTAACAGCAATAGGTCAAAACTATTGAGTCTGGTTATCATCTTTGCAGTTTTACAGGCTCGGTTCTGGGTGCAGGCTGGAGACGTGGCTACGGGCCAGCGCCGACCTCCCCTGTCGTTGGCTCTGATAGAAACCGGCTGCAGTCATCCGTCTGCTTTATGGGCCGAGGCTGCAGCTCGGAGCTGCTGAACGCTGGCCAGCCAAATAAGGAAGAGAGCTTTAAACTGTTTATCGGCCTACACACCAGAAGCAGGACCTGGAGAATACCAAGGGGGTGAATACTTTTGCATGGCACTCTAGTTTCAAAATGTGAATCCGGTCCGGAGCAAAACTCTCTGAGTCCGACGTTGACTCAGTCCATAGGAGGTGCTGACTCTCTGGGCTCCATTGACCTGAAGCCATCATGTGACCAACCGTAGGAACCAAAGGTGTGTGGTTCTTCTGCAGAACCTGCTTGGAGAACCAACTTCTTCAGACCATGTACACATTGTCTTTTGTTCAGATCAGTGTCCTTAGTCACTGTCCTCTCTGTTCCTGTTCTCTCTATCACTGTCCTCTCTGTTCCTGTTCTCTCCATCACTGTCCTCCCTCCCCTGTCCTCTTTGTCACTGTCTTCTCTGTCTTTTTCCTCTCTGTCACTGTCTCTTTCTAAACTGTGAGAACAAAGTCTCACCGAGTGTCTGTTGCCTGTGAGCTGCTGCTGTTTGTGAAGCAATAAAAAAAAGCATGACTTGAAAAACTGTATTATTCAGGCCGTGCATGTGGAAGAGTACATTATTTGTGACCCACCTCCAGCCTCTTCGTACCCACCTGGACCGGCTTTGTACCCACCTGGATAGCTGGTCAATAATTTAAGGTTTATTTTGCTGAAGTACACGTTAAATATAAAATATTTTATTAATAATTTTTATTTATCAGCAAGGTTTTTGGACCTGAACATTTAAGGCTGTAGCCTCAATTTGTTTTGGTTAAAACTCTTCGGAAAATTCAAACCACAACTCTTAACACTCGAGATTTACTTTCATTAAACACATTTGAAATCTGCTTAAACTTTTAGAAACCTTAAACCGTTGGTATAATTTTCTGCTTGTCCAGCCTGTCTTTGGTATAAAGTTGAGTCGTCAAGCCTGTCTTTGGTATAAGGTTGGGTTTATTGAGTCTGATAGAGGCCTCTGATGTCTTTTCTATCTTCTACCACCAGAACAATCATTAGAACATCTCAGGTATGAAAGTAACTAGAGAAGATTTCCTAAATTTGTTATTTTTGGCCTCACATTTCCTCTAATTTTCAGTGAACTCTTGTAAACTGTTAAAAACTGTGTTTGTAGAGATTTGTACTTACAAGATCTCATCATTCTCAAACTCCAGCACTCCATATGTGTCCTCAAAGTCTTCACCACCTCCTTTTGCTGTCCCTTCTATAGTTTTATATGGCACCATCACAACACCACGAGCTCCTGATTTCCGCATCACCTTGACCTCCATCTCCCCAATGCTCTCACTCACGGTCATCACCGGTTCCTCAAAGGTGAAGATTCCAGCATGATCATCATCAAAGATGGTGACAGTGGCTGTGCACGGTAACCCTAACTCAGCAACAGCATCAACATGGTTTGTCTCATTGCTGACTGCATCGTCTAATTCGACTCTCACATTGCTGAGGTGAACCAAGAAATGCTCATCTTCTTCAAAGATATCGTCATCAATAATATTAATGCTTATTTCCTTTTCAGTCTCTCCTGGTTTGAACACCACAGTTCCCTCGGTGAACTGGTAGTCTGAGCCAGAGTTTGCAGTACCATCTTCAGTTCGGTAATTCACAGAGACTGTAGTTGTTAAATCTCCACCTCTACGAACCACATTGAGTGCCACACTGCCGCAGTTCTCCAGACACTGGTAGGATCCAGGATCAAAGAAGACTTTGGAGGAGAAGCTGTTCACTGACACCTCAGAGCAGAAGTCATGTTGGGTGATTCTCTTGGCCTGGTCAGCAGCATGTTTCTTCAGGACGTTACCTGCTCCTGTCATGATCCTGGTTGCCTGACATCGGTAAAAGGCTCGACTCTTTTGCTGCTGGGTTAAAACATGATAATTAGCAAGCTCCATCAACTGCTCCATCTCCTTCTCTGGATGTTTCTGCTTCAGCTCCTTCAGGATCCTGGCCATCTCTCTGCGGGTCTCCTCCTCATCCATCTCCTTCTCCTCAAGCTGTGCTTCTCCATCCAGCAGTTCATCACTGTGAGAGTTTAGCATTTTTCCACCCATTTCAATGCTGACCTTCGATGATGGCACCGGCTCTCCTTCGGTTTCAATAATTATTCCTTTCTGCTTCCCAGCTCGATATCGTTTGTGTACGTATTTGTAGAAGAGAAGTCTGCGGTCAGCCACGTAAGCAAATCCAACACAAAAGGGGAAGAAGAAGAGCGTGAGAAGCCCCTCCCATATCTCAACAACTCCTGGAGAAAAGACAGCCAGGATCATGTAGAGCCAGATGTAGGCAAATACGCTCCAGGCAGCGGTGACGAAAAAGACCCGCAGATGTTTGACCTTTCTGGTCTCTCCATCAGGGATGACGGACACGCACAGGCCGATGATGACAAACATGTTGAAGGCAGCACTGCCTACGATGGTGTTGGGACCCAGCTCACCGGCATTAAAGTTGTGACCACAAACTTCCACAACTGATAGGAGGATCTCAGGTGCAGAAGAACCCAGTGCCATAAGGGTCAAGTTGGACACAGTCTCATTCCAAATCCGAACAGTCGTGGTGATTTTTTCTCCGTTTGGCTTCTTTATGGTGATCTTTCTCTCTTGTGAAGTGATCACTTCGATGGATGCCATGAAACGATCAGCTATGATGGAGACTCCCAGGAACATATAGGCCAATCCCACAAAGTAAATGGTGGCTCTGGCTAGTCGGTCTGGGAAGGGCGGGTTTAATGGCTTCCACACTGGCAAGATGACACCTTCAATGCAGTCGGTGTTGCCACCACACCTGGTCTGGTTGCTGACAGTGTGGTTGGTGTTTAGGGTCAAAGTTGAGTCTCCTGTGGCTGACACCTGTAACTCAGCTGAAATGAACGTCAATAAAAAAAGCAGCTGATTGGTGGAAAACTGCAACAAGGCCCCAGTTTGGCTCATGGTGAGGCTTCAGCTCCGCCCAGTCTGTAAGACACAGAAAGAGTCCCATCATGTTTGACTCCAGACTTATCTGATGAAAACATAGCACGGAGTTCATGTTTGCCACACTAACTTTGTATTTTCTGTCAGAGGACAGATTCTTTAGATCTTTACTGGTGCCTGAAACTTCACCAGTTGATTATTTCACCACCTTTCGTGTGGAACACATATTCTCATTGAAGACATTTTTAACTTTACTGAACAGTTTATCTGTGAAGCCTTGACAGTGTTCAGATGGTTCTACTGAACCCAAAAACTCACGCTAAATGGGTTTTGGACTTCCTGTCAACTGTTTGTGTCGGCATGAGAACACTTCCTGCTTTTTCAAATAGCTCCACCCCCTTTTGGGAGAAAACTGCAAAAACTGAAAGTAATTGTGATGTTGTGTCTTAAAGATTGTCTTAAATTGTTGTTTACAAACACATCAGCTAAAGTACTGTTGCTACAAACAGCTAAATCCTGTAGGTCTGATCAGTTCAAGTTCAAGTCAAGTTTATTGTCATTCGCATCACATGTGGTACATGAGGTAGAACATAATTATGTACTCAGGGTCTCAGTTACACCCAAAAATAGCAAAAATATAAAGTATAAAAAATAAACAGTATATAAGGATCTAAGATGTACACTAAACAAATGCCAAACGGTACACTAAAAGATCTGAGATGTACGCTAATCACTGATAATGTAAAAATATATGGCATAACAACAGCAGCCCGAACATGAGTCTGTGGTGAGCAGATGGGTATGAACGAATACAGCAGCATGAGATCAGCAGCGTGGATAATCAGCAGCACAGATAAGTCATATCACAATTGGCATTAAAGTGATTTTCTTTTTTTTGTTGTTGTTGTTTTTATCTCTAAATCCCTGTAGGCCTGATCAGCTAAAGTCCTGTAGCCTGCCTGGTCAGCTGTGGGGGTGTCACAGTGATGGGGGCTGTTCTGCCCCTTATCCTCCTGTCTAACATTCATGAAGCAGTTTTCTTGGCAAACAAACCCAGGAGCTTCATTCAGTGCCAGGTAAAACAAGAGCTAAATTCACCTTAAAAAGGGGTGGAGCTTAAAATCTCACAGGTTGACAACCAGTCCAGGACCAGACCAGACCTAGACCTGTCTCAGAAGGACCAGACCAGACATGTACCTGTCTCAGAAGGACCAGACTGGACCTGGACCCGTCTCAGAAGGACCAGACTGGACCTGGACCCATCTCTGGGGGACCAGAGCTGTACTCTGGCTCTGACAAAACCTGTGAGGCTCTGGCCCTGGACACCTAAAACCCACACTGAAGTATTAAAAACGGGTCCAGATCTACTGGGACATCGTCTGAGACGTCCAGAACCGCAGACGGTCTTCAGATGTTTCGGCTCATGTGTAGAACAGCTGAACATCGCTGAGCCTATTTCCTGAAGGGATGTGTCTTTCTGTCCTAAAACAGCATTTAGTTGTTTTAAAGTTTAATTTAAGAACAAATTATTTCACTCATGTCTTCTTTAGGTTTTCTTGTCCTCAGAGTACAGAGTCTTCATCAGGAGCAAAATAAACCCAGAAACTGTTAAAGACCAGAACCAAAACCAGAACCAGAAACTTACCGTTTCTGAAAGATCAAAAACCATGGAGGGACTTTTGAAGCGGGAGTTCCTCTTGAGTGCTGAAAGTTGTCCTGGTTGAGCTGTGAAAACTGTCCTCCTGCTGTCAGAGTGGAGGACAAACAGAGACACCGCCTGCTCCTCCTCCTCCTCCTCCAGCATCATCTCAACATGTCTGCATGCAGAGGACCTCCTCCCAACGTTTCTCTGAGGCTCACTGACCTCTGACCTCTCACATTAAAGTGGTCTCTACACGTTCTTCTCCTTGTGCTGTTTTAGCTGTTCACACGTCAAACCTTCGGCTCAATCAGCTGACGGCTGCAGGAAGTTTTGGCTTTCGTAGCTTTTATACTTTTTAAATATTGAACTTTTTTGACGACGACTCTCCTCGTAGAAAGACGGCGATCTCTTCAGTTCCTTTAAGAACTTCTCCTTCACATGTTTTTACTTTTTAGCTTTTGTTCAGCTTATTTAACAACTCAGTTTCGGCTGCTTTTCCAAACTGTCTTCATTTTCTCAGGAACTACATGTTTTATTGTTGTTTTGTCGTTGTTAGTTTTTAGGCTTCATGTTTGAACCATGGAGGAAGATTAGAAACTTCCTCACTAAAAGTCTTTGACGTTCCTATCATGGCCTCATGTTATGGTTCTGTAGAACCGTTCTGGACCAATCCAGAACCGTTCTGGACCAACCCAAAACTATTCTGAACCAATCCAGAACTGTTGGATTAGTCCAACCCAGAACCAAATCAAAACCGTTCAGCAGACGATACAGTGGTTGGATTTTATTTTATTTTTTATTTACTCTTTATTTATACAGGTAGACTCACTGAATTCACCTACAGATGCAGGAAGAGGGCCACCTGCATCGTGAAGAACCCCACTCATCCAGCACTAGAGTTGCATTTGGGCCTAAAAAATCCGACCCGGCCCGAGCCCATAGACATTGTATCCGAGCCTGATCCAACCCAACTAATTAACTCTAATTAGAGGCTTGAACCCAAGGCAAACCCGAGTGTTATTTTAATTAAGCTTTACTTACTTATTTTATACTTTAAATGGTTCTAGACCTCAGATTTTGCACTGTGCTGACTTTGTACAGTAGAGTGAGTTCTCCCATTTTTAGCTTTTGTTTAATATTTTCCGGCTCCATTATGCTGTGTGTCAATTGCAAATCCTCAGATGTGTGATAAGAGCAAAGCAGGGTGGGCGGGGCCACATGCGCTAGTTGTGCAATGCTCCAGCGCTACTCTCTCTTTTCACAGTCTGATTAACTTCTGCACTCTATTTTCTTTCTTTCCTCATCCTCAACATAGTAAACTTACTGCCTCCTCCTCTACAAGTAGATTAACACAAATTTATATTGTGCATTCTTATTTAGCTTTCTTTGTGCTGTATGATAAAACCGCACCACAGAAGCCCGAACCCGAGCCCGCCCTGCCCGTTAAGCAAATAATTTTGGCCCAACCCAGTCCGAATTTCAGGTCAGGTTTGGGCCATAAATTGCAACTCTACCCAGCACACACATTTTGCCCCGCTCCCCTCAGGCAGAAGGTTGTGGAGCATTAAGTGTAGAACCACTAGACTGAGGAACAGCTTCTACCCT